TGATATAGGGTTGTGTGCATTTTCTATTTATAGGTGCACTTAATTAATCCATCAGTATTAGTTCTAATAGCTCCACTAATTATTTTACTACCAAACTTTATATTCTTCACCTAGACATTTTTCTAGAAATTATCATATTTTTATTATTTTACAGAATACTTCACCAGTACGCATTTATACCGCGAAGCAAAATCGGTATATGCACTTTAGCGACTTTAAGCATTCTTCAACTTTCTAAATAATTATTTTATCATAATTATGCATAATCTTTATCAAATCTATGCTCCGGCGTCGATAATTTTATTTTATTAATTATTTAGTTGTGCGGTTCCTTACACTCACCTCACCTTTTAAGAATTTTGTCCGCAAAATTAGAGACATATTTGTCCCTAAACTCGGGGTATTGCCGAAGAAGCTCGTCCTCCCACTCCCAAGTACACTCATCTGGAGTTCTTCCTTCCCATTGCACTTTAACCATGGGAATGCTCTTGCTCCTTCGCTTTTTTGTCAGCATGATCAAGTATCTTGAGTGGTCCTACGGGAGTCTTTAAGTTCTCTCGAATTTCCACATCATTCGGTTGTACAATGTCCGAAAGATCAGCTATGTATCTTCGCAATTATGACATGTGAAATACATCATGGATGTTGGCCAAGTTCGGAGGTAAGAAAAGCTGGTAGGCAACAGACACTACCCTACCAAGTATCTAGTATGGCCCAATGAATCTCGGGCTAAGCTTCCCAGTTCCGAGGGCACGACCAACACCGATGATAGGTGAAATTCTCACAAACACGTGTTCACCCTCACTGAACTCCAATGGTCTATGCTTCTTGTCATAATAACTCTTATGGAGATTCTGTGCTTGCTTCAGTCTCTCTCTGATCATCTGGATCTGCTGGGTAGTCTATTGGACAAATTCCAAGCCAAATAACTCTCGATCTCTAACCTCAGACCAACAAGTAGGAGTCCTACACCTCCTACCACACAATGCCTCGTAGGGTGCCATGCCCAGGCTAATATGAAAATTGTTGTTGTACAAAAACTCAACCAATGGTAGATACCGATCTCATACTGAGCCTTGCTCTAAAATGCAAGTCCTCAACATGTCCTCCAAGGTTTGGATGGTTCGCTTAGTCTGTCCGTCAATCTAAGGGTGATAGGTTGTACTCAATCTCAACTGAGTACCAAAAGCTCACTGCAGCGCCTTTCCGAACCGAGATGTGAACTTCGGGTCCCTATCACTAATAATACTCTCGGGGATCTCGTGAAGCCTCACAATCTCGCGAACATATAGCTTGGCCAACTACTCTGTAGAGAAGCTCACCTTCACTGGAAGGAAATGGACAGACTTAGTCAATATGTCCACAATGACCCAATTAGAGTCACAACCAGCTTGAGTCTTAGGCAATCCCACCACGAAGTCCATGGAAATGTTCTCCCACTTCCATTGTGGAATCTCAAGAGGTTTAAGCTTACCAGACGGTTTCTGGTGCTTAATCTTCACTTTCTGGCATATCAAACACTTGGACACAAACTGTTATATCTTTCTTCATGCCCGGTGTAAGAACCCGCCCGCTAAATAATTAATTAAACAACATTATCGATGCCGGAGCATGGAATTGATAAAGGTTATGCATAATTATGGTAAAATAATTATCTAAAGGTCGAATAATGCTTAAGTCTCTTTTATGAGGAAAAGTGCAGATACCGATTTGCTTCACGGTATAAATGCGTACTGGAGAAGTATTCCAAAAAATTATAATAAAAATATAATTATTCCTAGGAAAATATCTAGGTCAAGAATATCAAATTTGGGATAAAAATGATAAGTTGTGTTATCAGAACTAATATTGGCTATTTCGCGGTATAAAACGCATATCGGTGAAGTGTCTCGAAAAATTATAATAAAAATATGATAATTCCTAGAAAAATGTCTAGGTTAAGAATATAAATTTTGGTAGAAAAATGACTAGCATAGCTATTAGAACTAATACTGTTGATTAGTGGGCACACTTATATAAATAGCTAAAGGGTACAAAATCCTAGGTTATTTCAGAAAATCTGAGCAGCCCCCTTTCTTCTCAAACCTTGAACATGCTCTCCACCACTCCCAAGAAAGAATGTGCCTTTCTCCATGGAAGTTCACAAAGAACATACTTTTATGCTTCATTCTTCTTCTTAATCCTCTAAACCCTTGAAAGCTTCTGATTAGTGAAAGAAAAATTCACTCTTGGGGCATTCAAGGTTCTGTTTAGGGGTGTTGTGGGGCTGTGCACTTGGCTTAGGGTGTGGGAGCCATTGTTACACTCTTGGAAGCTTCGAGAACAGATTTTTGTGAAGAAAATCCTTACCTTTGAATGTGATTTTCGTGCACCACCGAGTTAATAGCTTGGAGTATCTTAAAAGCCCTCAAAGTTCCCTCATTTCTTTGTTTTCAAAGGCTCTTAGGTAACCCCTCACCATTTCCTTTGTAAATTTATGAACAAAGCTTGTTTTGAGTCTTTTAAAAAAGGAAACTTTGATGATTCAAGTAAAAGATTGTTAATTTAAGTGTAATACGGTAGCTTGAACTTCTGTTTATGGTTAAATCGAAGGTGGGAACCTTTGGAGGCCATTGGAGCTCGAATTATGCAGAAAAATCTGTATTTTTGCATTTTTCACAGGTGGTAATCGATTACCTTAGAGTGGTAATCGATTACCTAGTGCAAATGTGACCACAACGCACTAGTTTGGTAAAATCGCGATATCTCGAGCAACAAAGCTCAAAATTGAGTAAGATTTGGACCTACATAAAGATAACACATAGGGATACAACTCTGTAAAATTTCATAGCCATTAGATAAGTGGTTTGATCGCAGTGTTAGTTTTATGTAGCGACTTGGTGGTTGGAAACTTAATTTACAACAGTCACTTGACGAAAAATATAACCGGAGCTATACAACTCCAAATGAGACAAAAAATATTTCGTTGAAAATCTTGAGATGTCTAGTTTAACATATTAAAATCTTAGAATTTTTCGTAAAGAGTTGCAACTGCAGTTTTAAAAATGATAAAAATAGTTTGTGCTCAGGGGCTTTGGGAGAAGCCCGCAGTATGCTAAACAAAAAAAGAAAACATGTTCCATTTGACATGAAATTGTAGGATATGATTATTGATGATGTGTTTGCGATTAAACTAGATTGTGACTCGCTAGATTGTTTGGTTGTCAGTGACCACGTTGATATTGAGTTGGTATTAGAGGCCTTTACTAATATAGGTAAGTTTTTGGTCCTCGATTTTATCCATTGCTTGTTCTACCAAACCTCACGAGGGATTGGTTTATGTTCATAGTATGTTTTCTGGAAATTATATCTGTTATATTATGAGTATTGGATATGCTGTTGAGTTGGATTATGAAACTATATCTTTTTATGTTGTGAGTATGGTTTATGTTGTTGAGCTGGATTCTGCTATAGTGCATTTCTACATGTATATGTAGGTGGGGTAGTGTGTACAACACCTATGTGGGGTTCCTAAGCATGGTGGACTCCATGTAAGGGATAGAACTCCTGCAGTGTGGGTATAAGGTGAACTCCTTATACTTTTGAGTAGGTTGCAGACGTGCGTAATACCTAAATTGTTCTCTGGCCAATAGGATTATGATTTGCGCATCCACATGATGTATGTTTGAGGATGCATACACACACAACATGGACATATTTGGCATTGCACACTCATTTGATATATTGCATGGCATGCTCATTTTATATACTGTATTGTTTACTGCTATAAATGGCCTGATATAGCCATTTCCCTTTATCTTGTTATTAATTTGTTTCTTTATATACTGTATGCACTGTTTTAGAACTTATATTATACTTGTAAGTGAGCTTGGGGTGGAGGATTCCTGGAGGATCCCTTGTCTTACTAAGATTTATGTTAGAAATATCATCCCTTTCTGGGGCACATTTGCAAGAGATAACGTTCGTGAGACGGACACTGATAGAAGCAAAAGACCAACATAGATATTTCATTATTGTTATGAGTCATGCATATTATTATTATTCATTCTACCATGAGGAGACTTTATTATGACTAGACTTGATAGATTATTTTTTATTTGTGGTAAGCATAGGAGTTGTCTATGCCACTATTAAATAATCTGTTTATTTGTGACTTGAGTATTTGTATTATAGCACAATGAGTTATGGATGCTTTTGAATTGTTATTTATGTGTACGAGGTATTCCAGATTTATTTTAGTGTTACAATTACATAAGGATTGTTATTAAAAGGAAAAGTTAATCCACCATGAGGATTAGCCTTGTTCTTTGAAGAAAATAGTATATTGCTTCCGCGATTAATTTTTGCAAGCTGCGTTTTAAATACCTTTTGTATGTTAATACACTGGCTGCAGACAGGGTATTACACCCGGCCATCAGAAGTTCCTTTTTAAATCCTGGTACATCTTTGTAGTCCCAGGGTGGATAGTGAATTGGCCCTTATGAGCCTCTGACATCACCTCTGTCAACGGACCCCTAGGTACCACAATTCTGTTTTGAAACAGTAACAATCCCTGATCGTTCCAAGACACTCCATCTTGGTTCTTCACATAAGCTAGACATTCTCTTTACACTTGCGCCTCCTTGATCTTGTCCATCAACTCATTTTCAAGTCTCACAGTTTCAGTCTCCAAAAGTGCACCCCCAAATAAAGAGGTCACTGTCGAGTCTTGAAACTTCTCAATCACATCTGAATCATTAATCATTATCTGGATAGACTCATAGATTTCTGGCTCAAAGCTTCAACTACTACATTGGCCTTGCCTGGGTGGTACTTCAACTCGAAGTCGTAGTCCTTAAGAAATTTTATCCATCTCTTCTGTCTTATATTCAGCTTCTTCTGGTCTAAAAGATACTTTAAGCTCCTATGATCGATGAACACCGCAAACTCCATTCCATATAGATAATGCTCCAAATTTTAAAGACAAACACGATAGCAACCAACTCAATATCATGAGTCAGCTACTTCTCCTCATGAGGCTTTAACTGTCTCGAAGCATAAGCAACCACTCTACAAGTCTCCATCAACATACAACCTAGCCCCTTCTTGGAAACATCGGAACAAAGCTCAAATTGTTCCGCAGGATCAGGAAGGATCAACACTGGTGCAATTGTCAATCTCTCCTAAAAGCATTCCTCACACTCGTGAGTCCATACAAACAGAGTCTCTTTCCATGTAAGGCGAGTAAGTGGCAACACTATCTTGGAGATTCCCTCAATGAACATCCTATAGTAGCTTGCCAAACCAAAAAAACTCCTCACTTCCATAACCGTTTTGGGTCTCTCCTAATTCAATACTGCCTCTATTTTGTTTGGGTCTACTACCACTCCCCTTGCAGTAATGACATGCCCCAGAAATTTCACTGAAGTTAGCCAAAACTCAAACTTTAAAGGCTTTGCATAAAGTTTCTTCTCCTTCAGTATCTGTAATCCTCAAGTGCTACTCGTGTTCCCTCTCACTCTTGGAGTAAATCAATATGTCGTCAATGAAGAAAATCACAAAATGACCCAAGTACGGCTGGAAAATACGGTTCATGTAATCCATGAATACTGCCAGTGCATTGGTGAGTCCAAACGGGATCACCAAATACTCATAATAACCGTATCTCGAACTAAATGCGATCTTGGGAATATCCTCCGGCTTAACCCGAATCTGATGGTATCCGGACCGAAGATCAATCTTCGAGTACACGCAAGCACCCCTGAGTTGATCCAAAAGATCATCAATACGTGGGAGGGGATACTTGTTCTTGATTGTCACCTTGTTCAACTGCCTGTAGTCGGTGCATAATCGCATGCTCCCATCTTTCTTCTTGACAAAGATAATTGGTGCTCCCCATGGAGATACACTAGGTTGGATGAAGTTCTTCGCAGAAAGATCCTCAATATGCTTCTTTAATTCCGCTAACTCAGGTAGAGACATCTAGTATGGAGCTAATGAAATAGGCCCCACACCAGCTAAAAGGTCAATGGAGAACTCTATCTCTAGCTGTGGCGGAAACTCAGGAATCTCCTCAAGAAACACCTCAAGGAATTTTCTCACCACAGGAATGCCAGTAATATCTTTTTGTGTCCCATTCATTAAACCTCCTAACATGGCATAACCATATGCCCCTACTCTCAAGGCTTTCCTAGCCTGAAACACTGATAAATAAAGAGAAGAGCTGGTAGGGGAATCACAAGGAGACATCACCACTTTCTTTGCATAACAATCAATCGCACAATTTCTGGACAACCAACCTATACCCAATATGATCTCAAGATTGATTATGGGTAGGTAAATGAGATCTACTAAATAATCTTGACTGTCTAGTCGAAATGCTACATCCCGGTAAATAGATGAAGCGTCGCCTTTCTCCCTAGTAGCAGTGGTAACCCTCAATGGTGGAGAAAGCTTATGCATGGGCAAATCTAGCCCCACAGTAATCGGATCCTTAATAAAGGAATATGTCGCTCTAGAGTCAAACAACACATCTATGTCATATCTACCTATAGAAATAATACCTCTCACAAGATTCTGAGCTTTATCTAACTGTTGGCGATCAAGACTGTACACACGTCCCGTGATTAGTGGTACCATGGGTGTCGCTGTAGGTGGAACAGGAACCATCTGTAGAAGGGAAGCCTGAACTGCTATAGCCCTAGCAACTAATGAGGGACAATATCTGGCATAATGACCCTCTTTGCCACACTTGAAACAAATAATCTGGCCGGTGGAACAAGGCCCAACATGTGACCTCCCACACTCGGTACATCTGGGAGTGGTGGGAGGTCTAGCTATACCCCCTGCTGAGTGGATGTCCTCTTAAACTGGTTAGGCATTTGTCTAGCAGATAACTGCTTTCCTTTGCCCTTTCCTCCAAATCTTCTGTCCTTCCACGTAGTGGAACCACTAGCTCCCTTCATTTCTGGCTCTCTAGTCTTTCTCTTCTTGTTTGTCACACAAACATCCTCTATATCTCTGTATTGCTGGATCAAAGTACCAAAAATTCTAGATGCAGCTCCATCTATTCGATCCGCTATCTCCCCATTAATTTCCCTGCGGAACTTAGAAGCCAAAATTGCAAGTGTAGGCATAACAATCCAAAAGCACGTTCGCCTGCATCATACGGGGTTAGATCTCTAACAAGAAATCTTAGTAAGACAAGGGTTCCTCAAGGATCTCTCCACCCCAAGCTCACTTACATGTTCCATATAAGTTCAAAAATGATAACAATGGTATGATAGCAGATATCTGTGCAATGCATCATATGTCCATGTCATGTGTGTATGCATCCTACTGGCCAGAGAATAAAAGGTAGGTATTACGTACGATTACAACCCGCAGTACAAGGAGTTTACCATGTACTTCACACACGGGTTTACCATCTTGCATGCGGCCTGACATGCTCAAGGGTTACCGTCTCATATGAATACCCCACATACATATACATATGGAAAATGCACTAAAACATAATCCAGCTCAACAACATATCCAATACTCAGTACATAAACAGATATTTCCAGAAAACATATCATGCATATAAATCATCCCTCCATGAGGTATGTTGGAACCATCAATGGGTAAAACCAAGGACACAAAAGCTTACCTGTCAAGCTAGTAATACCAACTAGAAGTCCAGCCAAGGTCCACAAGTCACCAAACAACACAATCACAGTCTGTTTATACCAGAAATATCATCAATATTCATAGTCTAGAAGTTCATTGCATTAGGACAATGTTTCCTTTTTCGTTTAATGACCGTAGGCTTCTCTCAAAGCCATAAGCATTCCATATCATTGGTTCTGGCTTAGTTAATCCATTACAGAGTTGTGTGCATTTCCTATTTATAGGTGCACTTAATTAATCCATCGGTATTAGTTCTAATAGCTTCACGAATTATTTTACTCCCAAACTTCATATTCTTAACCTACACATTTTTCTAGGAATTATCATATTTTTATTATAATTTTTCAGAATACTTCACCGGAACGAATTTATATCGCGAAGCAAATTGGAAATTTTGAAATGAATTGGAAATGGTATGTGCACTTTTCATCAGAAAAATGACTTTAAGCATTATTCGACTTTCTAAATAATTATCTTATCATAATTATGCATAATCTTTATCAAATTCATGCTCCGACTTCAATAATGTTATTTTATTAATTATTTAGCGGTGCGAGTCTTTACACTCTTAAGAAAGAAAGAGAACTAATTCATTGTTTGGAAATTATCTAAGTTACTTTAACTTAACTTGTAACTTTTAACCTTTCTTCCTATTTTTCACTTTTTCAACTTAATCTTACATATCATTGGTCCACATATTTCCCCTAGAACATTCTACATGTTTAGTTGCCATTTTGAAAGAAAAAGAACTGACTGCACACTTCAAAAGATCACTAAATGTCTTAGTTTTCTACTTTTACAACTAGCCTACAACTTTTGACTTTCGAAACACTTCATCATTAATCTTATTGACTACTTTTTCTATACCCATTCAGCCTTCAAAACTGAACACACGAAGAAAGATTCGCTGAACACACATGAAAAAGAAAAGAAAGCAACTGACATGTAGGATAATTCAACAAAACTACTTAACCAGTAGTTTTCTAGTCTTTCTTTCAACTTTGACCTAGTCATCCTTTTAAATTAATATGATTCATCCATCTTAAAACATATAATTTCATATGTATCATGACTTAAAAGAAAGCATCCAATCAACCATTTAGTAGTAAATAAGGCTAGGTTGTCAAACTAGTCATCTTTGATTACATACTTTAATTTTTCATGTAATTTAGCCTATCTTTGACTTTTTATTTATTAAGCTTTGACTTATTTTTATAAATTAATTTAGACATAATTAGATTAATCCAAGACCACTTCTAGCCATTAAAATTTCATGGAGAATTTAATTATACAATCAAACTTAAGCTTAGACCATTGTTTTGCTTATTTGCAAATTAGTCCCTATACTTTCACATATTTATATTTTCACCCTTAGACTGTATTAATATTCTTATTTAGGTTCAATTTAGCTTACTTTACATGAATTGTATCATCACAAATTTTAGCATGTCAATTAATTCATTTACTCAACAAAATCCACATCAAAAGCTTACTTATTCAAAAGCTAGTGTAACCTAGTAATCACACCTATACATCTTTTATTATTCCAAGATTTCTTAATGTGGGTTGTTATAGTTTGCAAGTCAGGCTATAAGCCCTTGACAAGCCGCCTGATCCATTTACATACCTAGTTGAAAATACAAATCTATCCTGTTTTGAGATGGATTGGCAAGTCAAAACCTATCTAAAAAGATTTAAATATTAGAAAAAATAAACAAGTATATTGAATGATAATTATTTATTTCTAACTCTATCACCTAAATATTTCTCATGTTTGAAACATGCATCAAGCAATAAGCCAATGAAAAAAGGATAATTTAAGCCAATAATTTTATTTAAAATAGCTATATAATAATACAAGCTATTATTTAAGATAAATTAATAATTCTAGTGTTGTTATAACAATAGAATGACATTAAACAAGTGAATATATGCAAATGAACACATCATTATAGCGTGTAGCTAGAATGTCATAAGCATCTTGCTTGGTTTGTATATATACTAGCATTAAAATCCAAAATGAGGCTCAAGTTTCTTTTCTTTTTGTGTTAATATCTTTTTCTAGCAAATCAAAAGTGAATAACAAATAACCTCTTTAGTGAAACAATAGCATTATGGCCCTAAAAGAAATTTTTTATCTCACATAATAACCATGAACACAAACCAACCAATCCATCATCTAACTTTTAACATTAAAAAAATGATAACCCGTGAGTTGTCCTACCCCTAACCTGCTTTAACCCATTACATGTGGGGTGAGTTATGTTGAATTGCGGGTTGAAATATATAATTCAATCCGCCCCGTATTGACACATTGGCTCGTCGGTTCGACCCACTAGGTTTATGTCATTCGTGACATATTTTCATGAAAGTTATTTGTGATGAATAACACAACTAAATTTCAAATTGTGTACAACAAAACTTATGTTAATCAAATTTAAAGAATTTTGTTAGAGAAATATATTATAAAACCACTAAAATGGCCTTCATCTATGAGTTTATGCTTTTGACTTGAATCAACTTTTTACATAGTATTAGAGCCTATGTGATCAAATTATCACGAGTTCAATTCTTACTGCCTTATTTTATTAATAAATAATTAAATATCATGCAGTCTTTAAGTATAGATATGAGAGGCCTATGCATTATCTGGCCTTCAAGCCCAATAAACTTGTGTATGAGTGGATATCTTACAAAAATATAATATAAAATTATTAAAATGCGTTCTGTCTTAGAGACAGAGATGTCCAGTCCGATGGACTGGTATGTTCATCTTGGATCTAGTGCCCTCTCCAAGGTATCTACGAAAGAGATACCCTTGAGATCAAGCAGATAACTGTGCACAATGAACTAATAACGGTGTTAGCCAATGGGGTGTGTGTGTGCGCACAGTGACAGCATAATAGTAAGAGAGAGAGCGTAACGTACCTTTAAGGTTTACCTTTTATTTATAGAGGTTACTTGAGGGTAATGTGGTGAGGGCGCCTCTGATGAGGGCCCTGGCCTGTCTGCTACGCTGTCGTATTAGGATTAGTATCCTTGATGGATTCTATCCGTAATTATTGTTGGGGTGTGAACTGGTTGGTTGATTAAAATATTATGATGAAAGATGTTCCTTTACTCTAGTTCATTAAGAGAAAACACATTTTTTCTCTCAACTTCAACCCAAGTGCGCAAGTGCACGCATCAAGTAATAAGTGGGATTATTAGTGCCCAGATTATCGTTCCCACGAGGATAGAACTCTAATTAATGCCTTAAAGTATTTTAAAAAGAATGAAAATGAAAAGAAAAGTTAGTAATTGACCTGTTTGGTCAAACGTTCCCTACTGTCTTGACAACGTTCCTCAAGAACAGTAGGTTCAATCTGACAGCAAACAGCTCATCGCGTCGTTATATAGAAATCCTTGTTGATGAAAGAAGGAACGACAGTGTTCATTGGAGATTTGTAGATACAAGATTGAATAAAGCAGATATAACAACAGTAATAACAGTAATTAAGAGACAATAGTATGGATGGTTTTAAAACAGTTTTAACACAAGGAATGGATCCACTGCTTCATTTTGAAATAGCTATTTTCTCTACTCGAGACTTAACACTTTTGTATTTATTCCAGTCTATTCACTGCCAACTCTGATTCCTCAGCTCATGGACTAAATGGCTCACAAGTTTCCATTTTCCAATGGCTCCCTTGACTCCAACAGTTACTTAGCACAGGACCTTCAAATGAACGAGGTGGTCCCTTATTCCTAAGGCAACCAGCAATATTGTTTCCACAAGACTGCCTTCCCCCTCTGGTTAAGCTGTCTGAAATCCCTTCCTTATGAAAGTTCCTCTCTCAGTATGTGTTCATTTTTCATTGATACACAATGAATATAGCTTACTTAACTAGAGAAATACAACAACTTCAGTACAAGAGTTTTGAAAATAATTCTTTAAGAACTTTACAGTTTTTCCGTTCCACAGATAATTTAGCCCATGGCTACTACTTTAAATATAATTATTACAAACTGAAATCCCATAGACCCGAGATTCAATTCAGAGATAACGAGTGAAAAGGAGAGAAATAACACTAATATTTAACTGGAAACAAATTAGGTTACAATAAAATGAGAAGTGGAGAATATGGTTGCTGCTCGTGAGGAGTCTCAAGTAGGTGATATAGAATAGAGAAGAAGTGTTGTCACTTAACTAAATTTAAAAATATACAACTAAAAAGAAAAACTACAAAATAAAATAAGTGATTTCTTCTTAAGGAATGTGATGATGTTCTTCGTGCTGGGACGTCCTATTATAGGCAGAAGAGTGAATGGCAAAGCTTGTAATTTCTTTGGAGTTATTTTCTTGACTGCATGGACGGGGCGGTGCAAACAGTGTTCAGAGGGTTGCAACTTGCTTGGATGGGACACTTATTGTTGATATTTGACGTTTCTTTGTAGTTCTCCATGCCTTGCTTTCCTCTTAGCCAA